GTATTAGACAGCACTAGAATTTTATTTTGACAATTAAAATCAAAGAAAAAAGAATCATTGAGCTGGATGAACTCCTATAAAAATTTGTTATATTTGTCAGTTTTAACAAGAGTTTATGTACCTGATAAAGTAAAAACACCAAATGGCTTTGGTAAAAATTAATTTCACTGATAAGAAAAATATTTAAGTAAAAGTCATAATATTGCTCACAATAATCAGAAAAGTAAAAGTTATTTTACACACACTAAAAATTATAGTGTTGAATTTGCTGAACCAAACTGGTTCCACTAAACCTAAACCRAGCTGAGTAAACAGATTTACATTTACTCAATTCAGTTTGGTGGAATCAGTTGACAAAACATTAAGTATTAATTAAGTATTTAATTATTAATTAAGTAAATTCAAGACTTCATATTTTTAAAGTGTATAAAAAACTCTTGTCATGATGAGTTCTGATTATATTTAAATTTGTAACCTGTAACTAGGTGGTAAATTTTGAAGTAAAAGTATCATTTTTAGGTTTCGAATTTAACAAAATAAAAATAAAGTTATGATAAAAAAAAATACTTGGTAAAATTACAAATCCTCCCACAAATTTCTGAAGTACTGTAAACAAAGTAAAAATATGCAGTACTATACACCTCTGCTTTTAACAAATTRTTGAAAAGAACAGAAGTTTTTTTTATTGTCTCTGTTTTTTTTATCGTTTCCCCATAAATAAACTGATGAAGCAGTGTTGACATTCAGCGATAAAGCACCTGTCATTAACYACATGATAATTAGTGCAGGTGTGTGTGAAAGTGTTTCTGTAAGTCTTGGATGCAGCAGGTGAGTGGAGGGGGAAAACACAGGTTGTAATTTAGTGGTTTTGTTTCCTGCAGGTTCGGGCTCATTTCAGCGTCATCACTCGCTCTCCTTGTCCTGATTTATCAGACGTGTGTGCTGCAGGAGAGGACTGTGAGGCCTCCCTCACCTCCTTACCTTACAGCTACACCAAACCCAGTCCTGCCTGGTGTGTGCGTCAGTGGCAGAAAACCGTCCCCAGTGATTATAAGGCCATCCTCCAGTTGGGGTAGGACGCCCACGTTTAAGGCTTAATTTATTCATTTTCAACAACAAGACCCAGTGATGACCTGAAAACTTACTTTGTTGTGTCCTGCTTTATAAATGTAAAYGTGTTTCCATCAATCAGTCTTTGTTTTTTCCTCCCTCTGAATCATAGAGTAAAGTGTAATTTCATGTGTAGCTTCTATGACTGGATGGTTGATTCTCAGCATTTCTCTGTTTTATTTACTCAAATAACACATATTCACTTTCTAATRCCAACCTTTTTGTTTTTCTCCATCATGCCCAGCACACAGTTTTATGTCTCAATAAATGCACGGCCCAAAATCCGAGCAAACAATGGAAAGCTTAACCAACCTGCATTTGTAGCGCTCCCTCCTCCACTCAGGTAACGCACACACACACACACACACACACACACACACACACACACACACAC